TGGCACCCTGTTGCTGCCTACCCTTAAGTCTTGGTGTTCTCCAAAATCCCATTGGAACCCTTCTCTGCTTAGTCTCTTTTTGGTTCCAGGGCTAAGATCACTTCAGCAAGCCTGGCCATCTCAGAATCTGTTTGTAGTCCTTGTCTCTGGGTCTTTATTGCAAAAACATTTGCCTATTGGTGCCGTGGGAGTGAGTGCTCAGCTCTTTCCTGATCCATCTTCCTGCGTGTAGGGAGGTGTCTTCCCCCCTTCAGTCCCTCCTCTACCCTGCAGCTAAATGAATCACTTCCAAACCTCCCTTCCCTCCCTGTCTTCAGATGTTTCCGTGGCTCCCTGTAACTGCAAGGTGGAGATTAAACTCCTCAGCAAGGTATGTGCAAAGCGCTTCATACTTCATGAACTGAGTATCAGCCTACTCTTCTAGGCTCATGTTTGGTTGTTCCAGATTATGCCAGACCCTCTACATGTCTTAAGACTTTGCTCTGCCGTTCCTGCTGCCAGGAATCCCCATCAAACCCTTGCCCTGACAAATAGCCTTTCTGGCTTTAGGACCTCACGTTCGAGGTCTCTGGCACCTTTCCTTCCTTCCTTCCTTCCCTCCCTTCCTGGCCAAAGCACAGCAGCATGCCCGGATGCCCCATACGCTTGTTGGTCAGATTACTTACGCTATAGCGAGTGTGAAGTTTCCTTGACCCTCTGGACCGTGAGATCCCAGAGAGCAGATTCTACAGATTAACGTCCACATCCTCAGCAGGCACCCTTCACGGCCTGCCCCCCGACACAGCTTCCTGCCTCTGTTCCCCACACTTCTCACTACTTCTGTGTGCGGCCCAGCTCGAGGGCTCCTGGACCCTGGCTTTGTGGTGAGCACCATGGTGACAGAGACTTCCCCCTACCGGCTTGCCAGCAGCATTGCTGAGATTGAAGCAAGTGCCTCCGTTGTGACTTTGACCCCAGTGGATTTCCTCTGCCCCTGCTCCCAGCCTGTCCCTTGCTAGTCACAGTGGGTGTGCCACCAGCAGAGGCCTTTGGGTGGCTTGGATTGACAGTTACAGTTCTGTAAGCACTCTGGGCCACTATGAGATAAACATTCCTTTGCTAAAAGCTTGGTTTTCCTTTCCTTTCAGGTTTGCTCACCACTGCTATTTTCTGCCTTGGCAGGAGCCATGGAAGTCCTATTTAATATAGGAGATGCTGTCAGTCATCAGTTTGTCAGGTTATCTTTTTTAAGGATTCTCATGGGGCATCAGATACCATAGATAATAGCCAGAGAGCGGTTCCAGAATGTCACAGAAATCTTACTCGTGGAACTCCATTTAGAGTCTAAATTCTAAATTCCATCTCTGTTGCCGAACCACAGCTGGTCAAGTGTAGGATTAATGTTCCTATCCAAAGGCCCAACAGGGCTTGGAAATAGTATAGCGTTAAAAACTTGGGCTCTAGATTGCAGGTCTGCCAGACCTGAGTGGAATCTTTGCCTTGCCATTACTAGTTGTGATTTTAGAAAGTAATCCCCCTTTTTGAGCCTCTGTCTCCTCATTTGTAAAACAATAATGATAATAGTTCTTACCTCCCAGGTGCATTATAAGGATTAAATGTGATACTGTTTGAAAAACGTTCAACAGCCCTCTCAAGGACCCAGAAAAGACTGAATGTTAGCAGCTGCCTCTATTATCGTCATTACTAATATTTACTCTGCACCCAAGCTCCAGTTTTGCAAGCCTTCTGCAGAGATAATGGTGTGGGTTTACCTTACAGGGTGTGGATTAATTGGCTGATGTTGACCAAGCATTTCATAAAACCTTTGTGTACGATAGATTAAGTGTGAGTAAGGTTAAAGTTGGTCTAGTTCAAAAGATTTTTCATGTGATGTGCTCTGTACAGAAGTTCACTTCTTTTCGGGGCAGGTGACAGCCCATCTTGCACCTGTGCTTTGTTCCCGGTGAAATCGTACTGGCAGAACAGAATCTTGCAGCCTACAACCACACACATCTGAAAATACACGGCATTTTCATAAGGTATTTCTAGGAGAGGCTCGGTAGAGCTCAGTTGTACACGGGAGTTCCAGAAAGCAGCGGCTGAGTGCTGTGCGTTGTGCCCCGTCTCCCTGCTGTGTGGGTGGCCCACGGGCGCTCCCTGCCAGCCTGGGCAGTCTGACACTGGCAGCATTCAGGCAGGTTTTCCCACTACACTCGGAGCATTTGCCACCGAGCTGTAGAGAGAGGAATTCAAGTAGTCCGTGGTTCCTGCTTGTTTGGAAGGCATGGAGGGTAGTTATCATGTCTGTTGACCAGTGTCTAAAGGATACAGGTATGGGGGAGTAATATTTTAGACTTAGTTAAAATAAAGAAAAGAATGACTTGAAGGAGTAGAAGATGTTCCTTGAATTGGAAATATTGTAGCTTAATGGAGAGTCTCCTGAAGGGTGGGTCTTTGGAGACATTTAACATCTAAAGCAGCATCAGCAATTTACACCCTTGGGCTGGCCTCCTATTTCTGTAAATAACTGTTTAAAATTTTTTTTAATGTGTCTTTTTTAGAGAGAGAAACAGTGTGAGTGGGGAAGGGGCAGAGAGAGAGGGAGGCACGGAATCTGAAGCAGGCTCCAGGCTCTGAGCTGTCAGCACAGAGCCTGATGTGGGGCTTGAATTCATGAACTGTGGGATCATGACCTGAGCCGAAGTTGGAGGCTTAACCCACTGAGCCACCCAGGCACCCCTGTAAATAACTGCTTAACTGAGGGAAGCCACACTCATTCATTTATGTCTTATTTATGGCTGTTAGGATTACAACAGCAGAGTTGAGTAGTCACAGCAGAGACCATATCTCACAAGCCAAAAATCATGTCTATCTGGCCCTTTATAGGAAGTTTGTCAACTCTAGGCTAAAGCATAGGCCTCAGCTCTTAGCAGGACTTGGGATCTTAGAGAGTGGTGTTTAAGAGTGTTGATTTTAGAATGGGACAGACCTGGGTTCACATCCCAGCCCTGCTGCTAACTAGCTGTGTGACCCTGGGCAAGTGTCTTAACCTTTCCGTTCCTCAGTTTCTTCATCTGTAAATTTGAGTTAATAATCAGAACCTACCTTATAGGGTTGTCAGAATTAAATGAGGTGATGCGTGGAATCCACTTAGCGTGGCATCTGTCACGGATTAAATGCTGTCAGTGTTAGTTGCTGTTGTTAGGATGATTCTGTGAATCTGCAAATCCCAGTGCACATGATGCTGTCCCTAGGCAGATGCCAAAGTAGCTTGAGCAAATCGACCTTAAAGCCTCAGCTACTAACTCCAAGAGGAAGAGCAAGGGATTTTCTGATCTAAGAGGCTCTCAGCCCACAGAGTGGGCCAAGACCCGCGTTCCTGTGCACACTGACCTTCCAAACAGCACTGCTGAAGATGCTCAACAGGCAGTGTTTCATGGCTGATTGTTTCATGCCTGTCCAGTCTGTATTTTATTGCCCCCTCCCCATTTATGATGTTTCCTTGTAGGCTTAGGAAGTATTTTCCCGACTCCCTGATTCCAAGTATTGCTTTAAGCTGGCGACTTAGAGGAGTCTTCTAACCTTGATTGTTCATTCATTCATTCATCACGCTTTCGTTGGGAGCCTGCCTTGTGCTGGGAGCTGTTGCCTGCCCCTCCCTAAGTGCAGGGCTTGGTGTTCGTGCAGGCGCTCACTTGCCTTGCTCTTGGCCACCAGCTCTGGATAGTTTTGAAAGGGATGGCATGCTGGTAGACTGCCAAAGCTGAGAACTTTTATTATATTTGTTTGACTTATTCTGGGGAAGAAGAGAAGAGAGCCATGTTTCAGGGTCTGTTAATAACTATTCCTTGAGGCCGATGAAGGAAGTCAAGGAACAGGTTGGCTAGTTGTCAGCAAAGGGGGCTGAAAAAAGTAGGATTAGGGCTCTGATGGGGCTTGCAAAGGAGAGCCGTGGTAAAGAAAACAAGCTCCTGCAGAGTTCAGGCCTTGCCTCTAAAGGAATAGTAAGCCCAGGGGAATTAGAAAGTAAGTGAAGGCTAAGGCTGAGGCTGGCCAGTGCCCTCCCCTCATTCTCTCCAGGTCAGACCCTGTGGCTCTGCCCCTCTGTTAGGAGTGAGTCCTGAGTCTGAAGACAAGCTTTCACTGAGTTTTAGAAACGTAAGACACGCTTTCTGGGCTGAGTGCATCGATGGTGGGAGGCTAGTGGTGGAAAACTGTTGCCAGAGGTTACAGCGATAAATTGGAGAAGAGGAAGATGAACAGTAGGGGCCAGTGAAAAATGGCACAAAACAGGCCTCCTGGGATGTCACAGCTATGCTTCCATGTTACCATCCGGCACTACTGACCTAGCAGTCTTAAGTTCGCTGGATCTGATCATGTCACGGTGCTGTTGAAATTCCCATTGCACATAGAGTCGAGGCTAGCTCTGGACCGTAGGCCTGCGTGCCTTCACGCTGCCTGCACCCCAGCCTTGTCTTGCTGCCACTCCTGCACCCCTTGCTCCAGCTACTCTGCTCCGTAGCTCTTCAGACTGTGCATCTTCTCCCCATCCTGGTCCCTTCTGGAAAGCTGATTCCCATCGCTAGCTCCTAGTCTGTCTTCAGTGTCTGCTTAGAACCTCTCTTCCTCGGAGACCATCTGGGTCCTCTTGTTAGAGCCTCCTAACATGTCCGTGATTTCCTTTGCAGTTCTCATCATGCTTGTAACAATTTTTTGATGTGTGCTTCCTCAGTGAGAAGACCACGTCTTTGTTGGATATTGGGCACAATATAGTTGTTTTTATACTGACTGACCAGAAGGAGCAGTAACTTGCAAATGGTTGGCGGGCAGGGGGAATGCAGGCTGTTTTAACCTTTTAATTTGCTTTGGTCTTGTTTTCCAAATAATTTCTGAACACGCTATTATTTTACAGACACAAACATACATTCTTTAAGGGATTCTCTGAGGTGACCTCTTTTTTTGGTCATCACTGAAATACATGTATTGGACAAATCTTACCTGCTTTTCTCTTCTCCCTGCAGAATGAGATGTGCCTGGCCACTCAACAGCTTTCTAAGCAGCTGCTGGCATATGAAAAACAGGTAACTTGGTGTTTATGTGGCATGTGATGGGGCGCTCAGGACTGTCATAAGTGGGGTTCTTTTAAGGAGTTCTCCAAAGGCGTCCTAGAGAGACCTTGATTTCCTTCTTTCTTTTTGTCCATAGTCCAGTCTTATTTATTTATTTTTTGTCTTGCCTTTCCCTTTCCACTGATAAATTCTAACTGGTGATCATCCCAAAGTATGATATTTTCTAATTAGCACAGAAGTAACCCACTGCCTTGAGAGTTTATAGTCTGAGGGGCTGCAAATGAATCAAATTCCAGGAAATAACCCAATACCAGGAAATAAACTCAAAGATGCCGTTACATCCAGACAGGAGAAGGGTGGTGACCAACAAAGCAGCGGTCAGGGAGGGGCGATTAAGTGCATCGCTGAGGTAGGACAAGGCGAGTGCATCGCTTTTCTCCGCGTGGACGCTTTGACGTGCACTTGGGAGGTGCACAGTGGGAGCTGGCGTGGGGGGCGGCGCAACGTGGGTGACGCGGGCATTGCCCCGAGCGTTAACACCTGGATCTTTTATTCTCTGGTCTTAGAATTTTGCTCTTGGCAAAGGCGACGAAGAAGTAATTTCTACACTCCACTATTTTTCCAAAGTGGTAGATGAGGTAAGACCACAACATGGCAAAATTGTATTCTTTCTTGAATTTTCTTTCATGTTTGTTTTGGCCCACTTTCCATTTTTAGATACTTGCTTAAATATCTGAGAAGGTAACTCAACTTGTTGCTCTTCCTAGGTCCGTTTCGTAAGACTGGTTGTAGGTGATTAGTTTGTTGCTGGTGTGAGGGGAAGGGCTTTGGTATACATGAATGATGGACCAAATGAAAGATTTCTAAGAACTCAGTTTCCTAAGGAGAGTGTATTAGTTTCTCGGGATGCTAGTAATAAATTACAAGTCGGTGGCTTAAAACAGTAGAAATTTATTCTTTCACAGTTCTGGAGGCCAGAAGTATGAAATCAAGTTGTTGGCAGGGCCGTGCTCCCTCCAGAGACCCCAGGGGGAATCCTTCTTGACTTCTTCCGGCTTCTGGTGACCCTGCGTGTCCCTTGGCAGATGGTTGCATCTGTCCAGTCTCTCCCTCTGACTTCCATGGCCTTCTCCCCACACTGCACTTCACCCCTTCCATCTGTGTCTTCTCTTATAAGGACATTTGTCATTGGAGTTAGGGCCAACCAGCATAACCCAGGATGATCTCACTGGGAGATCCTTCGTTACATCTGCGAAGACCTTGTTTCCAAATATTCGTGTTCTGGATGGACGTTTTTAGGGGGAGGAGGAGAGTGGGCACAATTCACCCCACTACAAAGGGTTTCACATAACTGCTCTTATAGCTGTATTGTATAATACATATATTGTATAATACATGAATATTTGTGGAAAACAGGTATTGTTATGAGAAAAGTACATAAACCCTCATCGTAATAAACATTCCAGCTCAAATGCTACTGGTGCTGGGCAGAACCTTCTGCAAAACTGGGTTGGTATGAACTTGGTATTTCATCTTGGAAGGAGTTTGCAATACTTAGATAGTAGAAAATCATGATAAAAAATGCAGATGCCGCTTAACTGATATAAAGTAGATACTGTCTTCAGTTTATAAAATGAGAAACTAGGGCACTGTGGTGGCTCAGTCAGTTAAGCGTTCGACTTCAGCTCAGGTCATGATCTCACAGTTTCTGAGATCGAGCCCCATGTCAGGCTCCACACTGACAGCAAAGAGCCTGCTTGGGATCCTCTTTCTCTCTCTGTGCCCCTTCCCCATCCCTCATGTGTGTTTTCTCTCTCTCTCACTCAAAGTAAATAAACTTTAAAAATAAAGAAAATGAGGGGCGCCTGGGTGGCTCAGTTGAGCGTCTGACTTCAGCTCAGGTCATGGTCTCACGGTTCATGAGCTCCAGTCTCAAATCAGGCTCTGTGTTGACAGCTCAGACCTGGAGCCTGCTTGGATTCTGTGTCTCCCTCTCTCTCTGCCCCTTCCCTGCTCAGTGCTCTGTTTCTCTCTTTCTCAAAATACATAAACATGAAAAAAAAAGAGAAACTAACATGACATTGTACTGATTGCATTTTTGTTCATTCAACAAATCAGACCAACAAGGTGTTATTCGTTCAGCAAACATGTACTGAGCACCACTGTTTAGTAGATGCTGTTCTGGGCACTGGCGATACAATAGAGAACATGACATCCGGTTCTTTGTAAGCTTCATCCTCTCTCCCATGACCTTGACTGTCTTCAAAGTGTATGTTAAAATGGATGGGTATCTTTTCCAGAAGAGGAGAATAAATGGAAAAAGTAATTAGAGGGGAGCAAAAAGTAGTTTTTTTGGAAGGTGAGGAGATGAATGTTTCCTAATTAACTATGAATAAATAACCCAGGAGGGGAAGGAGCAGACTCCACCCACTGAAATCATGTGTTTTCCCGAGCAGAAGACAGTTGCTAAGGAAATGTGGTTAGTCGTCAAAACCCCAGAACCAAGATTTCCAGTTTAGGATATTTACTTACAACCAGATTTTCATGGGCAGGGATGATGATTCTTTTGGTAGGGAGTGAATCATTCCCAAAAGCTGGAAGGCTGGAAATGTGATTTTATAGGTAGTATCATGTCGTCGTCCCCCCGGCCCCGCCCAAGCTTGGCAGTGTAAGGGGCTTTCAAACAAACCTCGTGGTGTAGAGACCTACATGTGTGAAAGCTGTTAGCTCAGGTGGGAAGCTTTTGAGTAGCTTTTCAGGTGGTTTTGTCTGTCTGGGCCTATACCAGGTTGAAAGTTTTCAAGACAAGTCATTTGACTCAGAAATTAAAAACCCAACTAAAAGTAGAGAATCATGTGGCTTACATTTTTAATAGAATGCCTTGGAATCAGACATTCCATGTTGTAGGCATGCAGAGATTTTGTCCTTATTGATTTTCCCACAGGCAGGGTTTCTAGGTCGCTTCCATGGAGTGCACCTAAGACAGGAAGTCATCATCATTCTAGATTACATTAACGAGTATGTGTTAGCCAAACTCTCTACTCTGAGTGTTTTCTATTCTGGTTACTGTTTTGTCCTCACAGTAGCCATGCAAGGAAGATGGTGTTATCCTTATTTTGGGGATGATGATACTGGAGTGCCAAGAGGTGGTCTCTTGCCACTCTCCTGAGTGAAGGCGCCGTGTTTAGAAGCCATCGTCCCATACCTTTCAAAAGCCCCACGGCCAAAAGTTGATGACAATCCCCTTGATCCTTAAGAAGAAACGAGGAAGAAAATGAGTAGCTAGGAAGTTTGTCATTCCTGAAGTGCATGATCATTGGAAAGCCACTTAATCTCCCTGAGTTTTGGTTTCGTCATCTGTAAATGGCAGCAGCAGGCGAGAAAGCCCATTTAATTGGGCTTTTGTAAAGGTTAAATTAGATAATGTCTATCAGAGCATTGAGCACATAGCCAGACACATAGTAGGTACATTTGGTGACTTTCATTCACTTAACTGTTAGTAAAAAAAAACAGTACATTTTTTACTGAAGGTATTTGAGAGAAATAGTTAACGCATTCTGTCCCGGTGGCATTTATTGGCATGGTGTCTTCATGTGTTCTCAGCAGAACAAAGCTGCCAGCTTTGGCTTAACTGAAAGCTACAACATTAACTGTTTGGCCCATAGCTCCCCTGCCTGACAAGCGATTGTCCGTAAGCTTCTCAAAGCAGCCTCTGGAGGCACAGTTCTAAAGGTCCAGATCTGTTGGAGGGAGAGCTCTGGGCACACGGGGGCTTCGTATGTAACTGCCATCACCGCTGAAAGAAACTTTGCCAAATGTGTACGGCAAAAAAGATTGCTGGGTGGTTTCTCTTTGTTCACCCGGCAGGAATCCCAGAGCATCCTCAGTAACGTCTACATTTATTGCTAATGTCTAGACTACCAAACATTTGAAGTTTCGGCAACTTTGCGAGCACGTAAGACAGGCTCTGTATCCAACACGGTGTAGTAGGAAGTCTGGAGCTCAGATTCCAATAGCCCAGGATGAAAATCCCAGCTATGCCACCTCTTTGCTGTCTGGTTTTGGAGAATTTGCCTGTTAAGTGATTATAATAAAAGCGAGCTCCCAGAGTGGCTGAGAACCAAATGATACAAAGCATGTAACTCTGGCACACAGGAAATATTCAAAAGTGGTAGTGCTGAGGTGGATGACTTTATTTCTCCTACGCCATTCAGGACAGGATTTAGAAAGGCCCTGACAAGCCGAAGGAAAGAAAGAATCAGGGGCCGTTAAGATTATCTGGTGAGGAAGATCACATTTGAACAGTTATCTTGTTCTTGAAAGATCCTTTTCTGAAGAACAGAGGCCTGGGATCTGAGGTTTCAGTGGGGAGCCTTCTTTCTCCAGAACAATTTCCAGGCCCGTAGCTGCTGTGGTTTTAGGGTTAGTAGGCTCCCAGCAGGCTGGTCTTTCAGGCATGACCTTGGCCCCGTCTGAGAGGGAGAGAGCTCACGGTGGCCTGGTAAAGTGTGACCAGAGCTGAGCGCTTGTGGTGACCTATGTTTGCTGCAAGTACACGAAAGCGTTCTCCTCCAGCCGGTGTGGCTCCGACTGGGAACATAGAACCAGGGTCGGCACAGTAAACAGACCACAACGTGGGCTCAGCTCAGAAACTCCTTTAGCAAACCTAACTGATGCCAGGTCAGTTGCAACCTTGCATTTAGTTTTAGTACCTCTAGGCCTGGATCATTTGCAGCTTAAATGAAGGGTGTTTATTTGCTAAGGAAGTGTACCTGAATTCTAGCCACGTGGAAGTGTTCAATGTGATCCTGTGCGGAAATCAGATAGCTGCCATAATAGTGGGTATAATTTTTTTTCAGCAAGATTTCTTTTTTTTTTTTTTTTCAGCTTAATGTTCTTCATACAGAGCTGGCTAAACAGTTGGCAGACACAATGGTTCTACCTATTATACAGTTTCGAGAAAAGGATCTCACAGGTAATGTTCCTGAGTTCAGTGCCAGTTACCTTCAAAATATCAGTTCATTTCATGATACTTCTGACTGTACTAATTTCTTTAAATACTTGCATCATTGAGAAATGCCCTCCTTTTATTCAGCACTTCAGTTTAGCTAACTTTTATTGAATTCCCACTATGTTCTTAGCTCCCCTAAAGGAGGTTATGGGCTAATTAATGAAAGAACAGACTTGGAAACAGTCATAACATCATGTGAGTAGGGCAGCAGGACAGAGAGGTACAAAGAATAAATATACACAGAAAGGTGTGATTACTCTTTTGATTTTTGGGTGCCAGAGAGGGCTTCCTGGAGAAGGTGATCTCTGTGCTGGGTTTTGAGAGATTACCAAAGAGACAGAGATGGCAAGGCTAATATTACTGGTTGGGAGCATTTGTAAAGGCATGCTGTTCCTGGGGAGCCATGAGTGCTTTGGGATGGAAAGAGGGTGGCTCAGGGAAGGAGGGCAGGGACCATGCTTTACCTGTGCTGGACTCTGAACAAGGCAGACCAGCTCCCTGTTCTCCTGGAGCTCACATTTTAGTGGGTGGGTGTATCTGAGACTGGTTCAGAGAGCCTGGTTGCCCTTTTTGACTAGTTTTGGTTCTTCAACTAAAAACCTTAGAATAATTTTATATCTCTTGAAAATCAAGTTAGTCAAAATATGGATATAAAAAAATAATCTTGAAAAAATGTAGTTGGATGTTACAAAAAGGAATCCAAACTTTGTAGTCTTTTTGCTCTTTATATCCTTGAAAATAGTCATTGCTTCGAGATTAAAGAATTATATTTTCTAGAACACTAGTACAAAAGTCAGTGGCCAAAAAAGTCTAAACCTGAGTACTAAGAGATCTGTTCAGTATCGTACTTCCTCTTTAAAAATATAACACCTTAAAGTGTAAAATCTGTTTAGGCAGAAAAGATGCAGTATATCTTAGAGACGATGTTCTTTTCGCCCCTCACTTGGAGATTCCCTGTGATCATGTCATACATTTGAGGCTATAGGGGACAGGGGGAGGACTGGCATCAACTTTGCCCCAGGGCGGCTTGACAGCACTGAGACTTGACAGAAGAACAATAAATGGCATGTCAGTTACCTTGTGTCAAGAGAAACCTTGCTTGAGAAAGACTTTTAGTGTTTTTGGTGTTGCTCATCTATAATTGCATGAAATTCCAAATCTAAATGTGGTTGCGTGCCGATCATCCAATACGAACTGAAAGCCTTATTGAGTGCCTTGTTTCATAAAGATTTCCTCTAAATACAATCAGTAGAAATGTGTGGAGATACCATTTAAGAACCAAACTCCAAGTCCTTTAGATAGAAAATAATCACCCTGGAGACCTGTGTTGTCAGATTTGTGTCTTTCAGCTTTGTGCCTGGGAAGTGAGCCCCCAGCTGGGGGTGCCCAGCAGCAGCAATGACCGGGGCCTTCCTTAATCCTGAATGGGTCAGGTGTGGATTAGTAGTATTTGCCTGGGATGGCGTTTGTTTTCTTTTGTTTTTTAAGACAATAAAACTGTCTAGTGGTAGTAAACCGAGAAGCTATGAAAACAGAGTTATCTGTTTTAGAGAGTATCTTAGAGTATCTAAGTATCAAAGTATCAAAGTAACCTTTTCTGACGACACCAACACGTAGGTTTGAAGTGTTTGGCCTGGGTCATACTTGAGTCAGCCTGAGAAACAGATTAGAATTCGGCCTCCTCTCTGCTTAGTGGTTTTTATCTTAGGTTTTTGTTTTTGTTTTTGTTAATGTTTATTAACATTATCAATAATGTTTATTATTGAAAGTCAGAGTCAGAGCGTGAGCAGGGGAATGGCAGAGGGAGAGGGAGACACAGAATCCAAAGCAGGCCCCCTCCTCTAAGCTGTCAGCACAGAGCCCAACGTGGGGCTCGAACTCGTGAACCCCGAGATCATGACCTGAGCTGAAGTGGACCGCCTAACTGACTGAGTCACCCAGGCGCCCCATTTTTATCTTAGGTTTTAATGCCTTTTTCATTTACGCACCAATCTGAATGAAGAAAACACTAAAGATCTTAACGAAGTTATTTAACCCCGTAAGGGAAAACCCCAACACAGCTCCAGTAGGAAGTAAAAGGGGAGAGAGAGAGAAAGGGAGATGGAACCCAACAAAGGCAGAAAGCATTCTGATTCCAGAAAGGGTAAGAATAACGTGAAGAGAGATTTAAAAGCTGTGAGGGAATTTTGAGGCAAACTGAAAAGCGGCATAAAAGATGTGATGTGAAAACGATTTCCTTTGATGAAGCAAAACTGGATTGTTCTGGAGTTGTGCAAAGTATTGCTTTCTTGTAGATGTCTCTGTGTTTTTAAGTTTGTAACCTTGGACAGCATCACCCTCATCTGTCTCTTCGTGTTTTTGGTCTCGGACTTTGTTAGGCCTGTCTGTGCGTGATGATGGCTGTGGCACCCACGTGGGGTAATAGTGATGTCTGTTGGCTTGTCACAGGTACCATATACTAGATTGCTCCAGAGTTTTTCGTTAAAACAAGTACCTCGTATTCCTTTATTAATGGTGGCCTTGCCAGATGTTACAATGGCAGCAACAGGACATTTCTAGGTTCTGGGTACTGTCAGGATATTCTGAGGAAAGCTGTATTAAAACGCTCTTTTTAGGGGCTGGAGAATATGAGCTTAGGCGTATACTCCGGGTCTCATGAATAGTACCTGGCCACCACACATTCCAGCCCACGTCCCCACAGTGCCCCCTGCTTCACAGATCCCTGGATGCTGTCTAAGACGAGTGGCCCTAGGAGCAGTCAGGGTCACCAGGTATGGGAGGCAGCCGAAGCCACCAGCTCCTGTCAGACCGGGATTCCGAGCCCACAGGGCCGTGCCTCGTGAGGGCGGAGGCCCTGAGGAGGTGCCCACAGAGCCTGCCTCCTACCGTGCATGTACTTCTATTTTCTTGGGGAGGCGCAGAGCTCTGGGTGGGTGCGTTTTATTTTTCTTTGCTCTAAGATGTTTTGTTTTGTTTTGTTTTGTTTTGTTTTTCTCATTCAGAAGTAAGCACTTTAAAGGATCTTTTTGGACTCGCCAGTAATGGTAGGTAGGCATCCTCTCTGTTCTTGGTGCGTGGGTTTAGTGTGGGTGTGGCATGCATGTGGGCGGAGGTGCTGACCAAATGCTCTCGCCTTTCAACTTATCTGCGTGCTAAAATGCCTTTATTTTGGGGCGCCTGGGTGGCTCGGTCGGTTGAGGCGTCCGACTTCAGCTCAGGTCACGATCTCGTGGTCTGTGAGCCCGCGTCGGGCTCTGTGCTGACAGCTCGGAGCCTGGAGCCTGCTTCGGATTCTGTGTCTCCCTGTCTGACTGCCCCTCCCGTGCTCATGCTCTGTCTCTCCCTGTCTCTCAATAATAAATAAACATTAAAAAAATTTTTTTAAACGCCTTTGTTTTTAGAGCATGACCTCTCGATGGCAAAATATAGCAGGCTTCCAAAAAAAAAGGAGAATGAAAAGGTAAGCGTACCTACCTTACATTTTGTTTTTCACATCATTTGCTTAAGCTCCTTTTCTAGTTTCCTGTTGTGAATTTGTGGCAATGAGAGCATCTTGATGAATCCTTTCTCTTCTTTCATATACATAAATTTTTAAATTATTTATTCTGAATCTTATAAGTAGACTTCTGCCTCCCTGTTCTAGCTTTTCAAACTGGTTTATTAAACACCAGCTTGGAACCTTTGTAAAATTTCAGTGATTTCCACATGTGGTTCCTCATATGTATTCAGGTCACTTCAATTTCTTGCCCTGGGTGTTGACTCTGATTCTTTTTTTTTTTTTTTTTTTTAATGTTTACTTTATTTTTGAGAAAGAGAGTGTGAGGCGAGGGAAGGGCAGGGAGAGAGGGGGATAGAGGAACCAAAGTAGGCTCTGTGCTGAGAGCAGTGAGCTGATGTGGGGCTTGAACTCACAAACCGTGAGATCATGACCTGAGCTGAAGTCAGACGCTTAACCAAATGAACCACCCAGGTGCCCCCACTCTGATTCTTTAGCTCAAGTTTTTTGGTATTATAGATGATATGGAACTTTTTATTAACACATGTGACTTTTTACTTCCATTACATAATTTCCTTGAGCTAAATTATTTCCTTGGAATACAATCTTATGAGTGAACTAAAATGTTGGTGGCTTTCAGTGCATGCCGCCATATTGTTTTCCCAAAGGATCACAGCACTTTGTAGTCCTGCCAGCAGACAGGAGTTGGCTTCACCCCAGTGCAGCCTCGCAAGCACAAAGATGCTAGGACTTTGGTATTTTTAATTTAGAGTTTTAGAACGTGAGGCAGGGGTGAGCCTGGGTGGCTCAGTCAGCTAAGCATTCAATTCTTGATTTCGGCTCAGGTCATGATTTTAGGTTGTGAGATCGAGCCCCTCGTGGGGCTCCGTGCTGAGTGCAGAGCCTGCTTGGGATTCTCTTTCTCTCCCCGCCCCCTCAAAAAAAATTACATTAAAAAAAATAAATAAAGCATAAGGTGGAACCTTATCTGGGTTTTATTGTATTTGTCACAGAAATGGGTTTTGTGAATAAAGGGACATTTTCGAAGCTTCGTGCTCTTCTAGAATCGCCATGTCCGTTAGACGAGCCGACATTTTCCTCCCACCTCTCCTCAGGTGAAGACCGATGTTGTGAAGGAGGTGGCGGCTGCGCGGCGGAAACAGCACCTTTCTTCCCTTCAGTACTACTGTGCCCTCAACGCGCTGCAGTACAGAAAGCGCGTGGCCATGATGGAGCCCATGATAGGCTTCGCCCACGGACAGGTAGGCCGTTCCCTTCCCCTGAGGGCTAAGACCTGAGCCGGCTGGGGAGGGCAGCTTGGCATTCCTGCTGAGGTAGTGTTTAGGAGAAACCAAAGAAACACGAATGCACCACCTCCCCGGAGCCTCCCGTAGGTTCAGCACATGGAGAGCTTCCAGGTGGGCTGGCTCATCGTTAGCGGGACTCGTTAGGCTGTACGCCCGGGGAAGTGATGGCCTTGATCCCAGGCCTCCTGGAGCGGGGGGAGGCTGGCATGGCCCTTTGTCTCTGAGCCAAGTGAAAGCCAGGCACGGTCTGCTGTTCTGAGAAGCAGCTGACCGCTCAGGTCGGTGGAGGTGGGCCTCCGGCTCGAGACCCCGCACATCCCTCTGCTGCTGTGTGTAGTGGGGGGGTCACGCTCGCTTGGGCCGTTCTCATTGCTGAGGTTATTGCCGGCACCCTTGGCATCTGGGTCGTGGTGAAATGTCGCCACTGCTTGCTGAGGTCTCTGTTGAGGGTATATTGACTTCTCCCCGCCCAGTTAGTGGTCCACTGAACCTTTGCGTGCCGGAGGTCTAAGGTGGCGGGAGGGGCGGGGTTCTAGCCTGGTGGGGACGGGAGTGGGTATGTGTGTGAGGCCAGGGGCACCGCCCCCCTCCCTCCCTGCCCTGCTTCGGCCCCACTTACGTGGGCTCCAGCACCTCCCTCCGGCATGTGGGAAACACCCGCAAATCTTCTTTCCGCTGACAGTCTAGGAATGGAAGGGGATGTCGGGAAGCAGAATGTCGGGAAGAAAAAAAGTCGGCAACTTTTTATAACTCCACACGTGTGTTGGGGTGCCTGGGTGGCTCAGTCGGTTAAGCGTCCGACTTCGCCTCAGGTCATGATGTCGCGGTTTGTGAGTTTGAGCCCGGCATCAGGCTCTGTGCTGTCAGCTCAGAGCCTGGAGCCTGCTTCGGATTCTGTCTCCTCCTCTCTCTGCCCCTCCCCGACTTGTGCTCTGTCTCTGTCTCTCAAAAATAAATAAATGTAGAAAAAAAATGATTTTAAATTCCACACATGTGAGCATCTTTTGTTTTTTAATACATTTAAAAAATGGATCTGTTTTTAAAAACACAGCATCAGTAGTATTCAGGGGAGAGGGGAACAAGAGAGGATCTTTAAGCATTCAGGCTCAATTATCTGTCTTTTATTTTTATTTTTATTTATTTTTTTTTTTAATTTTTTTCAACATTTATTTATTTTTGGGACAGAGAGAGACAGAGCATGAACAGGGGGGAGGCAGAGAGGAGGGGAAACCTGGGGAAACAGGCTCCAGGCTCTGAGCCATCAGCTGGGGAGAGCCTGGCGGGGGGCTAGGACATGGTCGTGACCTGGCTGAGAAGTCGGGGCAGCTTAACCCGACTTCAGCCACCAAGAAGCAGCCCAGATCTGTCTTTAGTAAAAAAAGGGCCACAACGTTTTATTTTAGAGACAGGGACAAGCCTTGAGCAGGCAGGGGGAGCAGAGAGAGAAGAGAGAGGGGAGAACCTGGGAGTGAAGCAGGCTCCAGGCTCTGAGCTCTCAGCACAGAGTCCGACGTGGGGCTCAAACCCATGAAAGTGAGACCGTGACCTGAGCCCAAGTCAGACGCTCAACCGACTGAGCCACCCAGGCGCCCCTCAAGTATCTGTCTTCTTAATGTGGTTGTTACGTTGTTGAATGGCGAGGTAACTAAAGTCAGCTTCTGCCTTCGGAGGTGGTGCTTAAATAGAGCACTCTAACCTTTCTGTGACATCTGAGTGAAGCTGGGTTGAACCAAAAACCAGCCGTGTCCATTCGTGGGCTGTGGGCTCCAGCCCTCAGCAGACCCTCTGCAGCTGTCCAGCTTCCTCACGATGTGTTCTCGTCCGTTCTCCTGTGCCCTCCTCTCTCCTTCAAGTTTTACACCTCTGCCCTAGAGGACGTCCCGGCTTTGTGAGGGAACGTCGGTACTGCCTTTGCTCTAATTAACGCCTCCTGTCACGTCTGTCCTTCCTGGATTGACGGTCCTTGCCTGTGGACTTAGAGGCCCAGGGTCAGACAGGGTCCTGGCCCGAGAGCCTCAGAAAGCTGAATGGCTGCGGGCCTGATCAGTTAGTGTTTACAGGGCCTGGTTGGTTAGGGGAGGGGCCTCGCAAGGCCTGAAGGGTGGACTTGTTCCCGGCTGGGTTCCCGTGTGTCACCTTGAGGACCACGCCGCTTCTCCCGGCCCGCGCTAAGCGAATGCTGCGGCAGGGCCGAGGGGGCCTGGCTGTGGAGCAGAGCACACGTCACTGGGTGGCCACAGCAGCAGTTTTGGGGATTGAGGATGGCACGGTTTCATTTTTCACGTGGAAAGTATCCAGATTTCGGGACAGAAGACCAGACAGCCCCTCCCCTCGCAGACCTCAAATCTTGCTGCAGACTTGGCTGTCTCGCATAGACCAGTTGTCGTCTAACCCCGTGAATCTTTTGGGCAATTCCAAGGCATTCCTTCTGCCTCATCAGCCCCTTTAAAGCCATGTATGTCTACGCAGCATCTACCTCCGTTAGCTGCCGGTCACGGGGCCGCTGTACTTCCTGTCGTTCACACAGGCACACCAGGTCTTTGGATGACGTTGGGCTGAATCCAGCTTCTCAGCACCACCCCTGTCAGTGCAAGTGGTTTGGCTTTACTTCTGTCTTCCCTGGCCCTTGTTCAGTAGGTTTGCACTGAAATCATGATTAGTCGTCATGCCTGGAAACAAACTGAGGTTTTGTAAGCTGCATCCAAGTTTATGAGAACACCAAATGAACTCTAGTATTTACAGGGTAGGTGCTAGGAAAGGTGACTGTAGATGCCAGTATCTTCTCCTTCCTTTTCATTCATTCATTTAATCAGATCGTTTTAGGGGCTGCCCGAGTCCCTGCCCTAGGAGCTTACAGAGTAGCAGGGGAGCTAAGACATGGAATTAATTCCAAGAGTTCAGAGAGGGGAAGGAGAGGAAAGCCACTGTGCTGCTGTGTCCTTAGAAATGCGGAAAGCTCATTTAACAGACTGATGTTTCCAAGATCCAGAATGGCATTTACCGTGTTGATCTCTGTATGATTAAAAGATCACGGGGCCAGAGCAGCTTCCTGCGTTATCACCTTGCGTCAGGATAATGGCGATCATCCTCTGTTTTTGTACTGTGAAAACTAAGGACGTGGGGTCGCATACCTCCCCAGGGTGTAAACACGTCAGAACTGTCCCGACAGTGCCTGCCAGCCTCACTGGGATGTGAGGTCGAGTTCTCTGCCCACCTTCCAGGGCAGAGGCAGCTTCCAGATCAGACACATGAGCTGGGACAAAGTGTGAGAAAATACCCTCATGCAAACTGCATGTCTTTTTTTTCATGACGTGGCTTTGCAACTGTTACCTCTCTCTGACCAGGCATGTAAAATGGAGTTCATACCCAGTATTGAGAGTTTTTTAAAGCCCTGGCCAAAGAAAGAAGTGGAAACTGTAGCTCTGGGGCAGGATGGTTACACATGTCAGCAGTGCACTGGACGGTCCCGTCTTCCCCCTACCCCTGCCCTTCAAGGTTTGACAGGCAACCCGGACTTTCTGGACAGTGAATACCTGGGACTCACGGGAAGTAGGCATTCCTTCTTTTGGTTCCCCGAAAGCCAGCACTTGTAGTTTTATTTTCAAAGGAGACTGAGGTCTCCTGGGGCCACTCTTCCCTGGGCTGAGAGAGCGTCCATCCAGCACGTGGGGAGCAGGAAGGGACCCTGCTTGTATCAAGCGCCTGTTCGGGGCCAGAGCTCGGCTGCATCTTTTGGATTGACCTCAAGGCTGGAAGGGCCTTTTTAAAATTTATTTTATTTTTTAACGTTTATTTATTTTTGAGAGACAGAGTGTGAACAGGGGAGGGGCAGAAAGAGAGGAAGACACAGAATCTGATGCAGGCTCCAGGCTCCGAGCTGGCAGCACAGAGCCCGATGTGAGGCTTGAACTCACAAACCTCGAGATCATGACCTGAGCCGAAGCCGGACGCTTAACCGACTGAGCCATCCAGGCACCCCGAGGCTGGAAGGGCCTTTTAAGGGTCGTCAGTCCAGTTTCCCCTTCTCGGTGTCTCAGCCGGATTATCTGTCAGCTTGCGTTCCAAGCTGCACATGGCTCGGTGAACGGGGTCAGCTGGTGGCCCTGAGGTGCGCTTCTCTTCCCGGAGAACCTCCTGCCGTGCCGCGTCAAGTGCTCGTCGGCCTCTTGCTGGCGCTGTGCACATCATTTGTCACACACCAGTGTAGGTCCTGGAGACGCAGAGGTGGAGACCTACCTCTTGCCCCCAAGAAACTCTCTGTCTAGAATTCACAGAGGAAAGCAGCCGATGGCGAGAACATCAAGACTACTTGTCAGTAGCAACTGCTGACGCACCCACGTGTGGTCTGTGCCAAGCAGCGACTTACATTGTCCCCGACGTTGACAGTCTCTCGGCGAGAGAGCCGGGTCCCACCGCCCCCATTCTGCAGCGCACTTGGGGCTTCGGGAGGAACCCTGCTGGCCCGCTGAGCTCAGCGGAGGCGCATGAGGCACCACGGGCACGCGGGGGTGTGGAGGGGGGCAGTGTCGCCGCCCCCGGTGCTGCCAGTCCTGCACCGAGTGAGCTCATCCGTCTCCTTTCCTAGAGGACTTTCACGGCATCACACTTCTGTCTTTCAGATTAACTTTTTCAAGAAGGGAGCAGAGATGTTTTCCCAAAGCATGGACAGCTTTTTATCCTCCGTAGCAGACATGGTTCAAAGGTAAGGCTGCAGTCCACTTTGGGTCTTGTGGGCCTTTGCCTCTCCTGCTGAACCCGTCCCTCCGGGGGGTCCCCTCTCCCGGGGGGTCCCATGGAGCCCCACCACGCTGGGATCCCTGGGCAGCGGGCCCCCTTCTTAGCCGCCGGTGTTTGGGTTGTGGTTGAAAAGTAATGCGTTTTGCAGTTCCCACCATGGGGAGCCCAGAGGCGTGCCCACCCATGAACAGACTGTGTATATGAATAAAAGATGAAGTGTCTGCGGGGAGACTTTTCCCGTTAGGTCCCGGTGCGCGTGCTGAGGGCCTCTTGTCTGTTGGCCCAGCCTTCGAATGTTAAAGCCGTCAGTCCGGTGTAGACTTGCTGTGGTCTTGGAAGCACGCTTTGCTTCCCCTTTGGAGCCGAGAGGTGTGTGGCCAGCAGTGCTGCGGCTCTTCTGGAAACTAACCGTCCCGTCAGTTCGTGATCAATAAACGAGGCTTTAAGCCTCTTTTGAATCAATTTAACAAATTGCATTTCGGCCTCATGAATGTTTATATTTTAAGAAGATGGCATCCTCTGTTCAGACCGTCTTGCCCACGTTTAGTTGATGCCGTGGCTGCTCCGAGTCCCTTCACCTCCCGCTGCCGGTGTCCGTGAGCCCCGGGGAGCCATGTCTCATGAACACTGCAGACGTGATTTCTGGAGGATGGCACAGAGAGAGAGTAGTTGATCAGCAGATACACAGAATGGAAGTAGGAGTGCAGAATTTATCTTGTTTGGAAAAGTGGAGCAAGGGCGCTCATTTTCTTGAGGGTGTTGCTTTTCAAACACCTCGAGGCCAAGCAGTAGACCCCGTTCAGGCAGAAGTGTACCTCAAGTGCTGACAGGAGAGAATGAAGCCGAAAAGCCAGAGCTGAGCTCCGTGCGGCATGCGGGAGGGTTGCGGTTTGAAGTCGTCTACGCCTGCCTGGAAGTCACCGGCTGCTCGTCCCTGGCCGCGTTCGTGATGAGGCTAGAAGGCACTTTGAAACCCCGTTTCCGTTTCCTGCCTAATTTGATTGTGAGCCGCTGGGAGTGTTAGGAGAGGGGAAAGGAAGGTGCCTGCTGTCACTTCATCCCTCCCTCCACCCCTACCCCTGCCCTCTCCCGACTGCCTCTCTCTTAGCCTCCATTAGCTCCCGGAATTCCCTGGCTTTCTGTTCCTGAGAGAACCGTCTGGGCTTCAAAGTTTGTTCACTCACTAGATTTTTTTATTGACAGATGGTAGGACGTTTGTGCTTGAGACGCCGTGATGTACTTCTCTGCAAACCTCAGAGCCTCTGTGTCCTCCGTTGTCAGCATCTGTGTGAGCTGGCACAGGCCGTCCAGAGTGCACCTCAGCCGCGCGGGCATTTCCATGTGACCTGCATCAAAGCCCCGGCTCCACGGCCTTCGGGGCTGTGGCTCATCCCTCTGCTGCCTGATGAGGCCTAGTTCATTACAAGGGCAGTAGCCGCAGACAGCATTCCCAGCCGAAGCTGGAAGCACTTGAACCTCCTGGTTCAAACGGCTAAAGCACTCAGATCAAGGTTCTAATTTTCCGACCACTTGGCTTTTCCGTTGGCGAGTAGATAAACACGGCCACGCCTCTCAGGCCACGAGGTGACTGCTGCACTGCTGGCCCAGAGGGGCCAAGGACAGTGTGCTGGCTCCGGATGCTGCCCTCCTTTCCCTGGGAGCTGAGTGGCCAAGCTCTGCCGTGTGAGCTGTGCGGGGAGTCTGAACCCAGCCTAAACCAGACATGGTGGCTTTTCGAATCACCCAGAGGGCCAGGAGCTTTTCTTTTCTTAAAGTTTATTCATTTATTGAGAGAGAATGCACACAAGAGTGGGGGAGGGCCAGAGAGAGAGTGAGAATCCCAAGCAGGCTCTGCACAGTCAGCAGCACAGAGCCTGACTCAGGGCTCGAACTCGTGAACTGTGAGATCATGACCTGAGCCAAAATCAAGAGTCAGATGCTTAACCGACTGAGACACCCGGGCACCCCAGGCGTTTTTCTTTTTAGTTCCTAACCCCGCAGGGATACACTTCTGCTTTTTTTCTTGGTTCCTACTGATCGATCAATCAATATGTAGGTAGATGGTCAATTAAATAAACTTTTTGTTCTTTAGTCTTGGAAGAAAGCCTATTGGAAAGTACTTTTCTACCCTGTCCTGGAGTGCCGGGAGCCCTTTGCGCGGCCACTGAAGTGGAGTCTGTGTGGGTCCGAGAGCGGAGGGAGGGGCAGTTAGTGACCGCTCCCTGAAGCTGTGTGCCAGGTGTCCTGCTGGTACACAGGAGTATTTTTCTGGGGGTGGCGATCCTTACCTTCCACTGGGTCCTCAAGGAGCCTTGCCACCCCTAAAAGCTTAAGAACCTAAGTGGTTTTGTATATTTTGGCTCTCTCCTTCCACTTCCTGAGCTGCTTAACTTTCTTCTCCATTTCACTCGCCCCGTCTTGGCAGTGATAAGCAGGTAAGCCAATGAGGCTTGTTCTCCAGCTCGCCCGTCTTCAGGCTACCAGTGGTGGAGTCCAGCCATTCTATTCAAATGTCAGAAGAGCCAAAATTAACTTAGATCGCCTGCCTGCCTGTGTTGAGCTGCATTAAGGCATAGGCAACATGCACTGTGAGTCTCCAAGAGGAGAGTGTGGACCAAGCCCAAACTTAACTCTTTGAGAGAAACTCCTAAGGAACTCACTTTGGGAAACAGTGGCCCCCAAAGTTCCTTCTGATTTTAACATTTGTAATTCAGTCCTTCTTTAACACAGTGGAAAAGTGGAACAACGCGTCTGTGGTTTGCTTTCTCGCGTGGATGGGCCGGGCCGTGTTGGGCAGCTTGTGTTTGGCACTTTATATCCGAGATTGTCAGCGCTGGGTGGGGAGCTGTGGAGGCATCACTTTGTGGGAAGTAAGGGCAGCTGCCTCTTCCAAGCTAAAGCTTCCAGGTTTTCCACAGCTCGGCACACAAGTGCACACAAGCCAGAGCTCAGACCTTGGCCCTCTTCCCCTGTGCCGTGTAGCACGGGCAGCCCTGGGCCCGGCCCCGCAGTCTCGGGCAGCTGTATGGCTGTGGGCAGCCCTGGGCCCAGCTCCATGGTCTCGGGCAGCTGTATGGCTTCTAGAAGAGGAAAAGCATTGCCTTTGTCTTTGTCCATGTGCCCTCGTCCTACCTCCTGGTTGTTTTCTGTCCTCCAATGGCCGCTTCCAGAACTAGGGGGAGCAGAGGGGCAGGAATGACTGCTGTTTCCTTCCTTTCCAGCATTTTCGCAGGTGGTCTGCACCTGAAGCCCTGAGAATGGGCTCATTAAAGCTTTTCTCCTAAAATCTGCATCCACAGGTCTGAGCCCGGATACCACTTTGTCAGCAGACAGATTGTTTCACTGGGTTGGGGCGCTGGCCAGTGGCCAACCTGTTCTGTTTTCAAAGAGCAGTCATGTAAACATTTTTAGCAACGTGGACTTGAGTCCCCTCGATCTCCAGCGTCTGGGGTCTGAGCTCCCTTTGTGGGGCAGGAAGCCGCGGGATCAGCTCCGCCATCTGTGGCTCGGCAGCACTCGGTTGGCCATGAGGAGCCGCTGACCTGACGCCTTCTGTCTTAAGCATTCAGGTGGAACTAGAAGCCGAAGCGGAAAAGATGCGGGTGTCGCAGCAAGAACTGCTTTCTGTCGAGGAGTCTGTTTACGCCCCAGACTTTGATGTGGCTGCACCACAGATCAACAGGAACCTCATCCAGAAGGCTGGTTACCTGAATCTTAGAAAGTGAGAATGCCGTTGCTGGCCTCTTTTTCTAAAATCGGTTTTCCCTCAGAGGGGAAGGGAGGGCTGGGGCAGGCGAGGGTGGGGAAGGAGTCCTGCACAGTGCCCCTCCCACCTGCCACGCAGGAAGCCTCTGAGGCTCAGGGCCCAAAGAGCCGAGAGAGGGGCTTGAAACAGCCTTGTAAGAGGCCTGTTTGTGGACTCTGAGGGGCGGGTCACCCCGTCCCTGGTGACCATGGCCATGTGCAGATAGCCTGCTCTTAACCGTCATCAGCCTGGACCGTTGAGAGCTCCTATCCCACCCCGCCCTTAGCCCAGGCTGCTGACGTGTGAGAGCAGTGTGCTCGGGGCCCACAGCTGAGACTGGCGTCGGGGCCTGTAGGCCTTCCGGGTCATCCGGATCCATGTAGGCTGAATCACACCATGTCACTTGGGGCCATTTGAGTTAAAGAGAGGATGATCGGGCTTCCTTGTGTCCAAGAGCAGACGGAGGCTGTCCGGCGTGGTGAACACTCTGGCTTTGGTTCAGTCAGACCCCGTGGCCGGGTCTCAGTCGTGTCACCCGTGAAACAGCTGGCAATGAGTCCCACTAAATGAAGTCGTTGCAAGGATTGAATGAGGTCGTTCCTAGCAGGAACAGGCACTCACACGTTAGCTAGTTCCAGTTTTGCGAAATAATTGCAACCATGGAGGCAGGAAACCTAGTGCCTTGCACATAGTTGCAACTCGAGAAACATTGAATCAGGTGAGTGCACCTGATACCTCGCAGATAGAAGGGCTACAGAGAGGAATTGCCGGCTGTTTTCTTACCAAGGTGGAGCTCCTCAAGGCTCTCCCCGCTTGTTGAGATCCCAAGTTAAGTATCTCCTTTAGTTCATACGGATGGAAAATCCTACAAGATTCTGGTGTTACTTGCCAGTTACTGGATATTCCTCTTGCAAGCAGCCCACAAAACCAGAGTAACATCCAGTTGGAGCAAAACTCAACCTAGTTAATGTCCCTGGAATTCTGGGTGCTGTGAGCCAGGGTGACCCTGGTGACTCTCACTAGATTTAGATAGTTCGGTCTGTGTCTTAGTGGACCGTCTCGGTTCACAGCTCCCGTTTCCAGGTCTCGGGGAGAAGCCAGCGTCTGGCTGCTGTAGGGTGGGCATGTGCCAGAGCGAGCCCTGGGTAGGCATCCCCCGAGTGGGCAGAGCCCCTGACTTCCAGGTCACTCCAGCTGCAGTTTGCCTCTTCTGCTGCTCTGCATTTGCAGTTTTGCTTTAATGTAGAGAAGCATTTTTTCCAAAATGCCACCAACACTGGTAAAGAGGCAGCAAGACCTTGGGCTTCTGCGCGGGCTTCCGAGCACTGACGGGCTCTCTAAAGTCACGATTCTTGCAGTAAAACAGGGTTGGTCACCACCACCTGGGAGCGGCTTTACTTCTTCACGCAAGGCGGGAACCTCATGTGTCAACCCCGGGGAGCTGTTGCCGGGGGCCTGATCCAGGACCTGGACAACTGCTCGGTGATGGCAGTGGATTGTGAAGACCGACGATACTGCTTCCAGATCACCACTCCCAATGGAAAATCGTACGCCACACGGGTCTTATTTGGGAGGAGAGCAAGGGTAGTGACCCCACCCCTGCCCGGGGCCTCCTGGCGCGTCCCTCCATGCCAGCCCTCCATGGGAGAGACCCCCTCCGGGGCTCGTTGGTCTTTGGGGAGGTTGTTTTATGCTCTCTTTAAGCAAGCACACAGCACCCCTGTGGGATCCAGTCTGCCTCGTGTGAGGAGTCCCAGTGCGGGTTTGTCCGCGGCCCTGGAGGAGACCCGGCCTCCGTGTCTCTGTGTGGGAGGCAGCCATAGGAGAGTCGTTTGTCAGCAAAGATCTGTAGAGAAGGCCGTGGCCACCCCTGCCTGTTCCCATACCAGCTCTGTGTACTGTGCTGGGGCGGAGGGCGGGCAGACCTGCCTGGGGAGCCTGCTGTTCCGGCTGAAACTGGAGACAAACTGGGCGGTGTGCTCAGCCACGGCACTCCCTGTGGGAACGTGCTGTCCCCACAGACCCCCGTGTGCCTCAGGGGCCCAGAAGAGGTCACTTGGAGTCATTCACAGATCCCACTGCAATGGGGTCCCCTCTGGAGCAGGAGCTTCAAACTGAGCCCCCAGGAGTGGGGCCGGCCGTCCTTCCATGGGAGCCGGCTCTGTTCGCATTTGCTTCCGGGTGGGGTTCTGAGCTGAGATTCTGTCTGGACAGTAGCGTGTTCTGGCAAGCTGGTACAGTGCTGACCGGCTCCCCTCCCAGGTTCTCAGAGCAACTTCAGACCTCACCCTTCCTCCTGGGCGGCAGGAGAGGCCTGGGATCCCAGTCGTGGTGCCGGGCAGTTAACTCCTTGGTTTTCTCACATGTAAAGTAGGGCTGAGGTCCATGCTCCCACCTCCCATAGCTGTGGGGTCCCTGGGAAGGGTTAAGCCCTCACCAAAGGCAGGGCAGTATTATTTTTGTCCTATTCCCCTCGGTGGGACAGCAGAGTGTCTGGCTTCTCTGAGCGTGGCTGGGAGGAGGGGTTGCCCTGATCACCTAAGGGGCCAACAAGAAGTCTGTGCTTGTGGACCCACAGACTTGAGCTAGTAGACCTGAGCCCAGCTGCTCACTTTATCGATGAGAAAGCACAGGCCCAGGGGAAGGAAGCGTCCGTCCAGGATCACACGGTGGATGAGCAGCAAGCCAGAGCCCCAGTTTTTGTTTCCGGTCATGCTGCCTTTTGTGGTCCTTCTCTTTGGGACCCAGCTGACTTCGGTGAATGTGGAGTAAGCTTCAGTCTCCGAGATCTGGGGAGCACTGACTTGAATGCACTTTATTTCAGGGGAATAATCCTCCAGGCAGAAAGCAGAAAGGAAAACGAAGAGGTAAAGCTTCTGTTCTTTCATTTTTGTCCTGGTCTAGCCGGTGACTGGGATCCAGCAGGTTTCTAACGCCCTCTCTCCACAGTGGATCTGCGCCATAAACAACATCTCCAGACAGATCTACCTGACTGACAACCCAGAGGTAACTCGCACGGCCTTACCTGCATCCCCGCCCCTCGCTCGGTCCGAAGGGTCAGTGCCCCTGCCGGACTGAGCGTGTCCTCCTGTGCACTTGTAGGCAGTCGCCATCAAGTTGAATCAGACGGCTCTCCAAGCAGTGACCCCCATTATGAGTTTTGGGAAAAAACCAGAAAGCTCGTGCCCCAGGTAACTAAAGGACCGTGGAAAAGTGGCTTTTCTGTATTGAGGTGTTGAGAATCGGCAGGAGTCCTTCTGTCCTCACCCGGCACGTGGGGATGGTGTCGGGTCTGTTCTACTGAAGCAGTAAGGACTGCCGGGGGAGGGGAGGGGCAGAGCCAGGAGCCACTGGCTGCGTGAGTCCAGTGCGTCTTCCTGCTGGAGCACTTGGCCAGCCGCAGTCCCAGCACGTAGGACTTGCACGGAGGGGCTGCTGCCCAGGGAGTCGCACATTTCCTGTCCACGTCAGCAAAGTTCTGGAACCAAAACGAGAACTTTTTTAAAGTCCGGAACAGTGGTCTGTGTTACTGCCCAGGCCTTACCCGCACGCATACTGATACTTTCACGTGTGCGTTAATCTTGCTTTTTCGCGTGTATTTTTCATATTTTTACACTTCTCGTAATTGTTCCTTATGATAACTACACACTCTCTTCCTTGATTTATTAGCAGTTGAATGTTTAGGTAGTCTCTCTTTCCTGAGTTTGCTATTATCGTTTACGGTGAATATTTTCATGCCTGTGCCTTCATTCTTGTTTTGAATATGGCTTTGGGGTTTATTCCCAGAATCCCACCTTCTTTCTTAATGGGAGGCTCCATTTGGCTAAATAGTAAGAAGGTTGTAATCATAGAGGGCTGCTAATGAAAGCACAACATCCGAGGTAAATGACAATTAGGACTGTGTTTGGTGACCATTTTTCAGAGGCACGGTAGAAGGAACCCCATTACGTAAATGATCTGCAGATATTATCGCGTGTCTCTGGAGAGAAGTGATTGGAAAGCTAAGAGCGAACTTCCTAGGGTCTGGGCTCTCTGAAGGGGGAGCCAGTGTGCGCTCAGCACGGGGCACTTGGGAAGGAGCCGCCATCAGGCCGGGAGAGTCGGAAGTTCGATCGCGAAAGACTTGGGTGCCCTGCTGACCGGTGCTGGGCCGTGGAGTGGAACTGGGAGCTCTGAGAAAGGGGTGACCCCCGTGTAGAAAGACTGGCCTGCGGCCCTGCGGGTGTAGGACACACAGGGCTGAGGCGTGGCGGGCGGAGGGCAGGGTGGGGTCACCGGACGGGGTGTCTGCTACAGCAGCAGTAGCTGAAACCGTGCACGTGAGCGAAGGTGACGAAAGTGGGCATGAGGCAGCGGGTCACGCTCAGGTGTTGGATCCCACAGTTTGTGCGGGGAGCGTGTTGCTAAGGGCGGCTCTGAGGACGGCAGTGTGAGCGCTTGTCCTTGGGCCTCGTCGTCGTGGGTGATGGCACTGTTCCTCCCTGTACGGCCTTGGGGACAGAGAAGGCGCACTGCAGGGTGCTGGCTTTGGAGTTTGGGGACTCTCTGATGGCTCTGCCTTGAACGCAGCTGGGTGGCCTGGAGCAGGTCAGCTCTCTGTGCCTGTCTCCTTGACTTTGACACGGGAAGAGGCGAAACTAGATGACCTCCCTTTCCGTTCCTGAAAACGCTATCTTGCTAGGGTGCCAGCGTGTTGTTTAATTAGTGTTACTAAAGAGGTGGTTGGTTTTCTGAAAAAGAGTCTGTGGCTCAGATTTAATTAATTCAAGAGCTGATTTTTCTCTGTTGGGGAATAAGTCAGTCACGCGGCAGAATCCTCTAGCCAGTCGGCTGAACTGAGCCTGGGAGGGTGACAGCTGTGGCCGCCAGATGGCCCAGAGCTGTGGGGGGAGGTGGGAGAGGGCGGATCTCTCTTTAGGGTCAGCTCGTTCAGAATGAAGAAATGTTTTGCTGACAGAGGGGGAAGGAGCAGGGAAACTGTGTTCTTGGGAACAAGCTGCCGTTCAGTCCCAAGCAGGCCTCACACGTGGCCTTCCCCTCCTCCCCAGGTAGCGTATCTCTAATGCGCACTCGTTTATCCAGCTAGTCAAGAGTCGGTTTGTGGGGTGTCTACTCTGTGCCCAGGCACTGGGCTGGGGCGTAAAGCGGAGTCTTGTCGGTAAAGCCAGGCGGAGGGTAAATAAATACTTAGTTAAAATGGGGAAAAGCTGCGCTGGTGTTAAAGACAAAGGTGCTGTCCTGAAGAGGTCTGGCCGTGGAGACGGTATTCAGACCGAGAAGTGAAGGATGAGGAGTGGCCACTGTCGCAAAGAGCCAGGTGGCCTGCGTTCCCGGAGCAGCTGAGGAGGCTGGCGGGCAGAGCACTTGGTGTGTCGGGAGAACTGGAGGGAGGCCAGTCTCACTGGGGGAGCAGGACCGGCTGGGGAGGGTGGGGCCAGGAACGGCTCCCGAAGGCAGGCAGGCAGGCAGGCACGGTCAGGAACGGGGGGAGCCGTCCAAGGGTTCAGGGAGGTAGATGTGTGCGTGGCAGAGAGGAGAGGTGACTCACTTGACGTCGTCCGGGGGCAGCTCTGGCTGCTGTGCAGGACACGGAACTGAGCTGGGCAAGCTGGGCAAGCCCGTGACTGAGCACAGTCAGGAGGCTGTGGCATCTCAAACCAGGATTGTGGCAGAGGAGGCGAAAGTAGATGTCATGGGGGGTTTATTTTGGAGGCAAAATCTGAAGGACTTGTGCTAGAAGGAGATACGAGTGGAGGGAAAGGGACAGACCAAGAGGGTGACCGCAGTCTGGCTCGAGCACCCGGACAGGTGGTGGCGTATTGAGATGAAAAGGAGTGGGTATCGGGGGTTCGCTCACTTCTGGACAGAAGATTGAGGGGCCCGCGGCACGAGCCGGTGGTCACGTTCCTGATACGAGTCTGCAGCACAGAGGAAATCCCAGGGCCGAGCACAGAATCAGGAACTCATCGGCACGGGCTCAGCAGGGCGAGAGAGATCATCTTGGGAGCGAGCGTAGAAGGACAAGAGAGGAGCCTAGGACCGAATCCTGAAGAACGCCAACATTTGGAATAGAAGGGAAGGAACCCGTTAAAGCCACCAAGAAACACCGGGGAAAGTGGAATCAGCAGGAACCGAGAAAGAAGAGTTTTAAGGAGGGAGAGCTCAACTATGTTACATGCTTTGACGTGGGGTGTGTGAAGTAGGACAGTGGTCGCCAAGTGTCCATTGGAGTTGGTGACGTGGCGATCACGGGGTGCTCCGTCATGTCCCTCCCGGGTTCAGAGTGTTCAGTGGCTCCCGGGAACGTAGAGTCAAGTGCAGACCTCACCCGACAGTGTCACAGCCCTCCACGACCCCGGCCTGCTCCTCTTCCTGGTGTTCTCTCCCCTGAGTCTCTCTGGGGAGCCAGCATCTCGGACGCACCCTCTTCCCTCCGAACTTCTCCTGCCTTCCTCCCGTGCTCACCACTTACAAATCCGTGCCCCTCTCGTAAAGACCGGATGTCATTGTGCCACTTTGGACCGAAGCGGTGTGACACGGTGGGAAAACACGACCGGCCATGGGGAGACTTCAGTTCCCAGTCTGGCTCCCCCACCTGGCAACCCAGCGCCCTCAGAATTACTCCGGGGCTCCAGAGACCGCACGCTCTCTCCTCTCCTGTCACGAGGGAGCTGAAGCAGAGCAGTCTCTCCCCACGGTGACTGGCTACAAGCCTGTGTCGCGTTTCCATCCACTCTCTGGTCAGTGCGCTCACCTGCCAAACGGCTGCCTTAGAGTAGTTTGCATACGGTGCGTTCAGTTACCGACAGACTTGAGAACGAGGAACAGAAGGGTATCGGAGAGACATCTTGGGCTCCAGATAACGGAAGAAATGAAAATATTTTGACATTCTTTGTCCCTCAAAGGGGTTTACACTCCAGCTGGGGAGAGAAGATTATAAAGACATGAGACCTGCTCTTACAGCATCCTGTCACTGAAAGAGAAGACACATGGTGGCACGTGACTGGTCACCGTACTGGCAGCTCTCTCCTGTCACGGGCCACCGTCTCACCTGCAGCTTGTGTGGACACGGTGCCGAGCTCAGGGTGTTCACAGACACACGAGACTGTCCCGGGGCTCACTGGGAAGAAACACTGGAGTGCAGAGGACAGAGGGTCGGGCTGGCTTGCCGGGCTTAGTGGATGGAGAGGAATTTGTTCTGGCGGGAAAGAGGATTGGGATGGAGACTGAAAGAAGGAAAAGCTTGTGATGTGTTGGTGTAGCTCCCTCTGGTGGAGGGTGCATTACAGGAGCGGCAGGGGGCTCTCGGGAAGTGAAAGCCAGGTTGTGATTGAATGCAGGCCAAGGTGTATTTATCCGTTCAGTTAACGGTTTTGAGTGCCACCTTTATAGCAAGCAACAAATATGATTTAGCTGTAGCCCACGCCCTCAAAAACCTGTCTCACAGGGAGAAAGATCCAGAAAATCAGTAGACCGTGTGTTAAGTGATATGACAACGCAGAATGCTGGGCAGCAGAGCTCACTGTGGGGGAATCTGAAGGGGTTAAACCAAGGACACGAATGACGTTTTGTGAAGATTTGTTTGTAGAAGGAGTTGAAGGATTGACTGAAATCTTCACCTTTATCTATTTGTAAAAGTCACATCAGCGTTCAGCATGTGTTCTTTTGATCATAAAGGCATAGGTTAAAAGGGATTTATTTCCCCCCTATTTTATACTCCAGTCAGAACCTGAGAAATGCAGAGACAGAAGATGACAAGATTGTGTCCCAAGTAGCCGTCCGTGCCGACGACGCCGATGAGCTCATCGCACCGGGAACACCTATCCAGTTTGATATCGTCCTTCCTGCCACAGAATTCCTGGACCAGAACCGGGGGAGCAGGTGCGGGCTCAGGGAGGTTACCTCAGGGAGAAATGAAAGTGACCTTGGGTGTCTCTTGTGTCCACCCCCATCTCCAGACACTGTTGCCATTCTGACTGAGTGCCCTCTTGGCCAGAAATGTCCTGATTGTGTGCCTCTGGCCATTTCCCTAGGCGCATCAACCCTTTTGGTGAAACTGAGGATGAGACCTTTCCAGAAGCAGAAGGTGAGCGGGTGGTCTGTGTGCTTGCTCTTTCCCCTTCACAGAATGGCGAGGGCCATTGAAACGAGGAGCAGAATCATGTTGCGGAGAGCTGGGCCTTGAAGGTATGAATTGAAATTATGACCCACGGGTCTGTCGTTCTCTGAAAACTCATTAGGATGTGTACAGGGAAGGCAGGTCTTAAATGAAACCCGCAGGGATGTGGACAGATTCTCCACTTGTGTCACAGTGTTGGCCCATCCTTACCCTTTCTATAGCTCCTGCGTACAGAGTGGCCAAACCTAAATCAGAGACCAGATTACTACAAAACAGATTCAAAGAGGATAAAGCGCTCACAATAGAATGCAATCTGGGTGAGACATGAATATGCTGTTTCATTTCAGAATGCCGAAAACACACATAACAGCTCATTCTTGTGTTTGAAGATGACATGGCTCGGTGGTATTTAATTTGTTCAAGTTCAGATTTTTGACGTTTGATTACATTCTTCTAGTACCTAAGAGCACACCCGGCAGAGCTGACCGTAACCTAGCACTCCGCAGAGCGGAGGCAGTTGAGGGCCTCACGCCTGGAGCCTGAGAGCAGCGTTAGAATGAGATGCCGCTTCCTCAGACTTAAAAGCAGGACTTGAGAGTCGGCACCTCGTACGGAATCGGGCAGAAAGGGGGCCGGTGGAAGGAAGGAGGCTAACAGGCTGTGCCTCAGGTCTGCCGCCCCGTCTCTAGCTGACCTTCCATATAGGCCACCCCGTAAAATCTCTACAAAAAAAACTTCCGAACTTGTAAAAACCGCCTTCGTGTGGGAGTCACTTCTTACAATATTACATTAATTATATTTTTCTCCTCTTTTAACCCTTAAGTTATTTTTAGGGGCAAAGACACTAATAGATCGAGGAAGGAAAAAGTAGCCATCTTAGTTTAAAATGGTGGAGAAGTGAATTATTCTTACAGAAAAAAAAAAACAACCTTTAAACCTCTGTGATCTTCCAGTTGCGGTTGCAGTTACCCAGTCTTGTCAGTTATGTGCCATTATCGGGGGGCCAGTGCTGGCAGTTTACTAGAATCTGGTAAGCAGAGTAGTTGGAGATGTGCCATTAGCTCCTGGGAGATCGTCACTGCCCTTCAGTAATGCACGATATGTGTGAACTGGATGGGCCCCCAATCAGGTCTTCTGTTCTTCAGATGGATTTTCTTCTTCAAGAGGACTTTATCAGTGGGCCTGAGGAATGAATTTTCTGTCATCTAGCGGAGAAGCTCTTATTTTCAGAGAAAAGACGTATATACCGCCACCTAGAGTTTTAGCGTTAAAAGGATGGTCGTGTGGTAGACTTTTCATCTTACGATGCACAAAGAGGTGCTTTTCTAGTCTAATGAAGTCGTTCCAAAGAGCCAAAATGTAGACAGTAGGCGATTCAGGGCTTCGGCACCGTTTTGAGGAATTTGCCGGGAAGCCCTCCGCAGGAGGCAGACCAGACCTGAGGTCTTCTGCCTGTTCTCAGACCGGCAGCAGGCAGGAAGCGAATGTGATCCTGAGCAGAAAACGCTCTCTTGCAGATTCCCTTTTGCAGCAGATGTTTGTAGTTCGGTTTTTGGGCTCGATGGCAGTCAAAACAGACAACACTACTGAAGTGATTTACGAAGCAATGAGACAAGTATTGGCCGCTCGGGCAATTCACAACATCTTCCGTACGACAGAGTCCCATCTGATGGTCACCAGTCAGACTCTGAGGTATGTTTCGTTTCAGACCCTTACAGCTTTACCTGATTCCCCATTTAAGGCACATTTACTCACTTAGAATGTTCATACTAGAATATTTGATCAGATTAAGTGAAGGTGCTACTCTTGTCTTTGCCCTGTTCCTTTGTATGTTCTGCTTTTACAAGATACGGTGGATAGAAGCTGTTCCCCTAAGGAGTGGGTACCCTCAGAGACTTAGTGGTGAATGAGTCCTCTCGTTCGTGATGATGCCATCACTGAAGAATTGCTCAGTATATCTCAGAGCTTGAAAAAGAAAGGGTTTTTTTTTTTTTCTTTTTTAAATGTTTACTTTGTGAGAGCGCACGAGCGGGGGAGGAGCAGAGAGAGAGCGAGACAGAGAATCCCAAGCAGGCTCTGCACTGTCAACACGGAGCCTGATGTGGGGCTCAGTCCCACAACCGTGAGATCACGACCTGAGCCGAAATCAAGAGTCGGACGTTTAAGTGACTAAGCCACCCAGGTGCCCCGGGATTTTCATTTCTGAATGCAGTACTACTTATAAAAATTAACAACAGTGAAAAAAGAACATGAACCTACCTGAGATCATTAGACCACCACAAGTAAAATCTGATTAATATTTGTTGGGATGAAAATAAGCCAAGTGATGTTAACTACGTGATTTGGAGTTTTAGGTAATAAGATCTGTATGAGTGACGGCAAAGGACCGTCAAGCCATGGTTAGCACAGGCTTTATGAAGTTTCACCATCCAATACTGGACTCACATGTAGCACTTGAAACGGAATGACAGTCTGAGTTAAAATGTTCTAAGTGTAAAATACATATAGCAAGCTTCTAGGGTCTCATACTAACCCCCCAAAAAGAATGCAAAATATGCCATTAATTTTTATATTAATAACATATCCTGGTAGTATTTTAGATCTGTTAGGTGACATTAACTTGATACACTTTATTTAATCTATTTCACTCTTTTTGATGTGACTGCTAGAAAATTTTAGATCACGTATATGAGGCTTACATTTTATTCCTGTGAGATCACAGGCACTGCTTTAGAGGCAGAGTGTCTACGTTTATCCCTGGCTTTGGCCTTCATTAGTTACATGACCTGGGCAAGTTTAACCTCTGTGCATCAGCTTCTTGGGCTATGAGATGAAAATGACTGTATCCACACTGCGTAGGGCTGACACAAAGACTACATGTTAATGCACATCAAACATGTATACAACCACAACTGGCATAAGTGCTCAGTAAATGTTAGCTTCCAAAAGTTAAATTGGGCTTTGTTAAAGTCAGAATATAGTTTCTTCCATTCATTAAAACCAGTCTTTTTCGTTTCATTATAAACCTTCTACTGAGAGTAAGTTTCTTGTGAATAAAACTTTATTTAAAGCTTTTCTCCAAGCATGCCCTCCACCTTTTATAGGCATTGGCTCATCGTTCCTGTAATCTCCACCAATAAGAACAGAGTAAATATACGTAAAAGCATTGTGAAAAATGACAGTACATCAAATGAACACTATCAAAGTACAAAGCCCACAGAACGGGAGAAAATATTTGCAAATCATGTATCTAATAAAGCTATATGTTTAGAATATATAAAGAACTCTTACAAGAATCAACAAAAAGACCAAAAACCAAAAAAATGGACCAAGGACCTGAGTAGACATTTCTCCAGGGGAGATCTACAAATGGCCAACAAGCACATGTGAAAAGATGCCCAGTGTCACTCGTTATTAGAGAAATGCACATCAAGTCCACAGTGAGATACCGCTTCAGCTCACTTAGATGGCTGTAATAAAAAGGAAAATACCAAGTGTTAGGGTGAGAAAAAATTGGAATCCGTTGCCGGTGGGAATAGTTAAAACCGTTCAGCCACTGTGGGAAATGGTTCGGCAGCTTCTCTGGGAGTTGAACGTAGATTGCCAGCCCTGGTAGACACCCGGAGGAATTGAAAACTGTTCAGATAACCAAGTTTACACAAATGTTCGTGGTTCACGGTAGCCACAGAGTGGAAACGATCCCAACTCCATCAACAAATTGATAGACAAGATGGGGTATTTAACACAGCAGAGTAGGAGCCAGCCTTAAAGAGAAAGGACGTCCTGATGTGTGGTACAACATTGTTGAGCCCTGAAAACATGCTCGGTGGAAGATGTCAGCCATTTTGTTTGATCCTGTATCTGAAGTGTCCAGGATGGAAAGCAGGTTAGTGGTTGCCAGAAGCTGAGAGGAGAAAGAATGGAAGTGACGGTCTGATGGGTGTGTAGCTTCCTTTGGAGGTGATGAAGATGTTTGGAACCAGGCAGTGGTAATGGTTGTACAGTGTGGTAAATGTACTAAATATTAGCCCATTAGTCTGCAATAGTCCATTTTATGTTAGGTATATTTCACCACAGTTTCCACACACAGATCCCTGCATTGGAATTCATGTTTTGAGACAAATGAGAAGTCCCACAGAAAATCAGATCTTTTTTTTAATGTTTATTTTTGAGAGAGAGAGGGAGGGAGAGAGGGGCAGAGAGGGAAACACAGAATCCAAAACAGCCTCCCGTCTCTGAGATGTCAGCACAGAGCCCCGTGCAGGGCTCGATCTCATGAACCATGAGATCATGACCTGAGCTGAAGTTGGACGCTTGACTGAGCCACCCAGGCGCTCTGAAAATCAGATCTTACGCAAATCCGTATTACCTGTTTAAGATAGCAGCCTTTTAAGTTACTCACAAAATATGCATGTTTTAAGTTCACATTTATGGAAAAGTTTTACAAAATACCTAAGAAACTTTACTTGAGGGAGACCGTTTATGAGGTATATTTTTTAAATCTTTAAATTCATACAAATTAATAGGGACATGAAGAAAACATGGATTTAGCTTGTAAATGTGTAAAATTCCATACACATTTTCTTACTGTCTTAACCACCTCTTTGAAGTGGGGTCCTTTTCCCACTTTTACAGACGAGTCTGGAAGAGTCAGGGTGACTTACACAAGGGCACAGTCGAGCAGCCAGCCCAGAGCCCTCTGACTGCGGTGAGGCCCATACTTGAACCGCACGTATTTCCAACCGCAGCCTTTCTGGGGGGATGACCGCTTTCCTGAGATCTAACTTCCCATACAGCTCGCCCATCTGAAGTGTTTTCAGTATATTCAGAGTTGTGCAACCATTAGTTACCACAGTTTTCGAGTATTTTCATCACCCCCAGAGAAAACCCACACCCGTGAGCCCTCATTCCCTTTTCTTAAACCCCCCCCCCATGCAGCCACAAAACACTAATATTCTGTGTGTATGTATTTGCCTGTTTGGGACATTTCATATAAATGGAATTCTAACCATTTTTTTAAGACCGAGAATAGATTTTTTGCTTTCGCCCACAGAATTTATAGCAAATCAATAAATAATACCATGTTTAGAAAGTAGAAATTTATATGTATGTATGATAGCAATGGATTCTCTAATGCAGTGTATTTTCCAGATACATCAGCCTGGTTATTAGATGATGCTTAAAGTTTCGTTAAAGAATACATCTAGAATACCTTCTTTTTTAATTAAAATTTTTTTTTTATTTTTGAGCATGAGCAGGAGAGAGGGGAAGGGGAGAAAGAATATGTGCTATTCCTTCTATAAATAGGACAGAAGTTTTCCTTTTTTGTCTTGTTTTGTTTTGCTTTTTGAGAGAGCAAGCAGGCGTGTGAGTGGGGAGGGGCAGAGAGAGGGAGAGAGCATCTCAGGCAGGCTCCAGGCCCAGCTCGGAGCCCAATGCGGGGTTCAATCCCATGACTCTGGCATCATGACCTGAGCTAGTGTTGAAGAGCCTGACAACCAACTGAGCCACCCAGGCACCCCTAGAATATACCTTCTTAAAAGACCGTGCTCCCCCACACCCAAACTGACACAGAATAGTTTTGCTACAATCTGTTCACTGTGTTCTCACCCCACCCATATTTAGGGGAAAAAAATTAGACTTCAAGGAAAAGACCATAGTCAGTAAATGTCTTCTGAGAAGCAGGCTGTACAGAATACGATCTGTCTATATTCTACATCAGAACTGTGAAAAATTCAAATGCTGCCCCTTTGGATAATCACTGAAATGTGAGAGTCTCCAGTTGTTACAATCTTCCATAAAGCTGTTCCCGGAGCTTCAACTACATGGGGCTCAGCACAGGCAGACCCATGGCGCATGCTCCCTTTGGACAGTCCCATGGAGCCATCTCGCCTTGCTGTGGCCGGGCCTTAGAAGGGTATTTGTGTGATTTCATTCTGAACTTCTAGACTCTTCCAAGAATACAGGTTTCTCCAACATGTGTAATATAATGCGTGTCTTAAAATTGCAGGTTGATAGATCCTCAGACTCAAGTAACAAGGGCCAATGTAAGTACCTCCATGCACGCTAATTTTAGTAGTTATTCCTTAATTCAAAGTAGGCACTTTATAGATTTTGCCAAATTTAACAGCCGTCACTCATAGTGCACTTTTTTCGTGACGCTGTCCGTGGAGAATGACTTGTCTGTTTTTAATTCCAGTTATGTGATGTTGTCTATTCCTGCTATTTCTAGTTTGAGCTCACCAGCATCACCCAGTTTGCTGCCCATCAAGAAAACAAGAGACTAGTCGGCTTTGTGGTCCGCACGCCCGAATCCACAGGTGGACAGTCTCTGAGTACATATGTTTTTGAAAGCAACTCAGAAGGCGAAAAGGTCTGTTTTTTTTCATCTTAAGGTTCCATATCTCTGTCCAAAGATATTTAAAGGGGTTTTGCACCACCCCATGGGCGTTTAGTTGACTATTCTTTGTGCCCCCATTGCGGAGTTTAGAGAATACCTCTAGGAAGGCCCCACTGAAAGAAACGACTGGAATAAATTTTCTCTTGGAAATGCGTGTCATTCTAAACAGTGATGAGGAAGAATGTTAATGGTGAGATGAAATGTGAAAAGCAGTTGCCTTCAAGTTTCTTTTTTAAAAATGAAAGAAGTTACGATGGAGAAAATCTAGTCTCAGAGCAAACGAAGGAAGCAGACAGCAGGAAACTGTTCTCATATAGTATGAAAATTTTTGTGACCGTATTTGCTACTTGGAATTAAAGTTAATCAACTCTTCTTTCAGCAAGTGTCTTTTTGCCACTGCGTGCGAACACGCAGTGGCAGAATGTGATGGAGAGAGAAAGGAGGAAAGTATTAAGAATGTTAAGCACTGGGATAATTTCAGTTGCCACTTAACCTGGATATCGTTGCTCTGCACAGATTGGCAACCGGAGACCAGGACAGGTGGACTCTACTGTTCAGAGCCCCGTGTGATGAACTTAACAGCCAGGTCCTCTGTCCCCACACCGACATGAGCAGTGACCTTGTTGTACTTCCATAACCACATTTTTTCCTAAAATCCCTTATCGCTTTCTGCCTTTGCCCAACACTGCTTTTCTTGTCTTACAGATATGTTATGCTATTAATTTGGGAAAAGAAATCATTGCGGTTCAGAAGGTAAGGTACATTTTAGTGCTGGTTTTCACAACTACTCAAAAGATCTATAGACATACTAAGATCTCTCTCAAAAAGAGGAATGGTGTTCGCTGGACATTGTGGCCGAACTTGAGATTTCCTTTGAAGCGTTCTAACCACCAGACTGGCTAGGGCCACAGTCACCGGTTAACACATGTGGAGTTCCTCATAAATATCACTGCTTCCTGCGTTATCACTTTTTTGCTTGCTGTTGTTGGCTAGATATCCTGTCTTTCAAATTAGGATGGTAGAAACTTTAAGTATCTACCATGTACTCAAAGGCCTTGCTCCTCTGAGTGGTCACAGACAGACATCAACCTGGAAATGTACTAGACGTGAAGATTCCCAGACCTCCCTGTATTTCAGCAGCTTACAATCTTTCACTCACCCCACAGACTTCTGAGAGCCAAGTTTGTACAAGAAAAATCTTAGAATTCTACCATTGAGCAAGACAGATACAGTTCCTGCCCCAGGAGGCTTCTCGTTCAGTAGAACTTCTGCAGTAATGGAAATGACCTGTGTCTGTACTGTTCAATAGGCAGCTTGAATGTAGCTAATTTGATGATGAACTGGATTTTTAAACAGTAACATATAGCTACTGAGCACCGTATTAGCTTTCCTAATGTTGGGGGAGGGCAGGAGGACTAAGACCAGTATACATGAAATGGTAGCAAGCAGTGCAAGTTAGTATTTTATGGTATTGATCAGGGATCAACTTCTGTAAAGAGCAAGACAGGAAACCTCTTAGGCTTACATTTGTTGCAACTACTCAACTCAGCTATTGTTCCAGCAGCCATACATAGTATATCAATGAATGGCTGTGTTCCAGTGAAACTTCATTTATAAAAACAGTGAGCCAGATGGCCGTGGTTTGCCAACTCTTGGTTTACGGGGAAAGAGGAAGGAGTTAGTGATCTAGAAGACAAAGGTATTATAAAGGAAGTTCTTCTCTGGACTCTTTGTGGGAAGACGATTATGATTTGGCTAAGTGAATGACATTTTGGCTAAGAGCAAAACCTTGGCCTAGAGTCTAGAAGTAAAATGCAATTGAGCTTTTTCAGAGAAGCAAGGAGACTCACCTGAAGGCACACATAGATTCCGGAAGGAAAGAAGCTAGATTACAGAATACTGAAAGCCACGCCATAGGGGTTTTAAGTGCATTTTAAGCGTTTTCTTTTCTCCTTCTTAAACTCTCATAACTTCAGGATCCAGAAGCATTGGCTCAATTAATGCTGTCCATACCACTAACCAATGATGGAAAATATGTACTGTTAAACGATCAACCAGATGACAATGATGGAAGTCCAAATGAAAACAGAGGCGCAGAATCTGAGGCATAACTCTTTTGGGCCTTTGGGGAAAGAGCACCCAGGAAGGAGAGCTACCTCCTTAAGGGTTTTCAACTTCTCTGACATACAGGCCCACAACCTGGTTTCAGAACACTGACAATCGCTTGTGGAATGTACTCTTGATGCCTTGATACTGAGACTTGGGAGGGAAACAGTGAGAAATGGTTGACAACATTCCTACCCATCTACAAATGTTACTTTAGGTGCTTTGTGGTAAGTCGTCTTCTTAGATTGTACTGTTCAGCGCTCAGAATGAAAGTTACTGAAAAAATGCATTGTTCACTTTATTCAAATGTCATCTCTTTAGTCTCCAAGTACCCTTTTTAAAAAACGATAAAAGCCTAGATTTATAATTTGATAAACACTAAATATTTCCTATTAATATAATCTATTTTTATATTTTCCTTAATGAGCTTTAAGTGCCTGTCATTCTGAAAGTTGTGTATTTATAATCAGGCTTGTCTCACAGTCGGACCTACCAGCATCAGTTTGTGCAGTTAGGTGGCGAGCCCCGCTTAGAGGGCCTGAGCGTTAGCAAAAATGCAGGTCTAGTTGTGATCATTTTTCTCAGACATCATGCAATAAAAAGACTAGCAGACGAGCACCACACAAGACGTTCAGTTTTACATGGGAACCTTGATGAACCAGCATTCAGAAGTTTACGGTCCTTCAGGCATGGTTTTAGTGGTGGATCACTACAGACCGTGTGAAGCTCTACCAGTTCCTGATTCTTCTGAGCCAGACCCTCCTCAAGGAAGGGACCAATTAATTTTAAAACTCACTTGAATGAAAGCACGGCTGGTTGCGGGGCTTGGTATAAAAATCCTATTCCACCCCTACCTATGAAGTATGATGATCCTGAATTGGCACCATGTGTTTAATTATAACCAATTTCAACAGAATACCGTTGTCTTTGTAATAAATTAACCTAGCAACAAATGCTAGCAAATAAAAACTACCATTCTGTTTCTTTCTTTTGCTTGTTGTGGTTATTTTCTAGAACATCCCTGGAAGAAAACTAAAGTTAGTTCTGTGGCTTCAGCTGTTCATTTCCAAAACCTCAGTACATTCCCCCCCCTGCTGTGATTTCATTATGCCCTATCAAATACCTCTATTCAGCACTGGTTGAACAATGTGATCTCAGTACCAAGTTTGTTTTTTTTTTTTTGTTTTTTTTTTGTTTTTTGAGGGAGAGAGCATGGGGAAGGAGGGGGGGAGAAAGAGAGAATCCTAAGCAGGCCCTACACTCAGTGTGGCTCAATCTCATGACCATGAGACAATGACCTAAGCCGAAATCAAGAGGTGGGATGCTCAACTGACTGAGCCACCACAGCTCCCAAAATGGTGGATTAATAAAACTTTTGTAATCCAAACTTAATGTTACAGGGGTATCAGAGTCCACTTCTATAATGTGAGCCTCAGGGACTAAGCCAGCATGAGATATACCATGAAATTATTAGTATGGTGTTAGCGAATGCCTTACAAAAATTTGTGTATCATAACTGTATTAAACTGGTAAGTCCTCCGATAGGCTGCAAGAGCCACAGTCCCCTGAATCTCCTTTTCTTCAAATTGTTCAGGGTGGGAGGGAAGAAACTAGTCGTACACAATATTGTTGGAAACTAAAATCAATTTCTTTCATTTCCTAATTTTTTCATATTTCAAAAATATGCGGCCTAAGCCACAAAGTATGCAAATCATAGGAAAAAAAGACTGAAGCCCATTAAAACTAACTTCATTGAAAAAAACCACAGAATGAAAACACAAAATGAACTGCACATATTAGGCACAGATGACCCACAAAATATTAGTATCCAGAATATGTAAAATATTCCTGCAATTAGAAAAAACTGAAAGTCATAAAGGCATTTCACAGAATAAAAAATAAAAGGGGTTCCTAATTAGAAATATACAAAATTGATATAATAAATACAAATTAAACCCACTGGGATATTATATACACACCAGACTCTAGAAACGTAGCTGCTGGGATGGGCACGACGAGGCTCCTCCGCTGCTGGGACGGGACAAGTCTGGCGTTGTATCCGTTGCACTTGTAGATGGCCTAGCAGATTCACTTGCGAGTAGAACTCTGGAGAAACTCTGAACACAGGTACACAGAGGTGCGTGCAGCCAGTAGCCCTGTTCGTACTATCCCAAATTTGGAAGTGACCCACATGTCATCAGCAAAACAGATCTGTGTATTTGTGTAACAATACTAAAGAAGGAAAACTAAATGGACTACAGGTATGTGCATGATCATGGATGAATTTCAAAAGAGACCAGTCATATACAGTAAGAATCCATTTATATTAATTTTTTAAAAACCTGCAAACCACCACCGTGTTATTTAGAAAACTACAGGTAGGTTGTAACACTAGAGAAAAGCAAGGCATAGTTATCCCAAAATTCTGCGTTGTGGTTTCCTCCGGAGTGGAAAAGGGAGCGGCGACCCGAGGAAGAACAATGGAACATCTCAGGCAGGAGCAACAGGCTCTTAACCTCCACGGTACGGTGGCTACCCAAATGTCCTGTTTTATTCTTGATTCAGTACACACATATCATGTACTCTTGTGCGTGGGTCATAGATTTTAAAATAATGTTAAACTTTAGAAGGTTGCCCTTTAAATTCCCCAAATGAAAGCACTATGAAAAATTATCAAGTGCCATGTAAATGAAAGGTGGGAGGGGAGAAAATGGGACCCTTTATTAGCCAGCTATTCTCACCGGTTTTCATTTCCCAGCACTGCCTCTGGTTGTTTAGCTGTCAGACTGGGGAAGTGCAGGACTTCTCTCCCATTGTCTGCACTTAGCTGGGCCATGTAAACAGGCATAATTTTTATGAGACCCACTCAGAGTCACATACTGTTTATCTTCCAACTTTTCCACCTAAGAGAGTAATAGTAAAGCTAACAACTATATGCCAAGTGCATTTCTGCCTATGAGTAATCATATTAGCTAGTGTTCACAGTAGTTACTGTTTCCTAATATATAAAGTGCTTTACACAAAAGTCAGTCCTCAATCTATAAGCTCTGTATCATTAGGCCATTTTATGCCTGAGAAAATGAAGCACAGAGAGGTTAAGTAAGCTGCTGGCAGGCTTCAAATCACAGTCTGGCTCCAAAGTCTATGCTTCTAACTGCTCTGTGACATACACAGCACAGAGAAACCACACAGCAATCACCAAATGCTTCTCTCATTAGGTACATAAACCTTTGAAAATTATTCTGATATGCAGTAATTATACCACCTTAAAGTACATCTCTAATGCCCTGTTGCATTTTGTGCAGATTCTAAAATGATTAAATGCTGTAATACCAATACAGATAGGTGCTTCTTGATATAAAGTATTAACTTTCCCCCTCACTTTAATGATAATGACGGCATTACTAAAGAATGTTTCACTACACAAAGATCTTGCATACATTACAGAATGCACAGTCTTTAAATTTTTTTTTTTATGGTAATTTTTGAAAGAGAGAACATGAGCAGGGGAGAGGCCAAGAGAGAGGGAGACACAGAATGTGAAGCAGGCTCCAGGCTCTGCGCTGTCAGCACAGAGCCAAATGCAGGGCTCGAACTCACAAACCGTAAGATCATGACCTGAAGTCGGACGCTTAACCGACTGAGCCACCCAGGCGCCCCTACAGTGCATAGTCTTTAAAGATGATCCCAGAATTATGACATCATCTCTACACTGATCAGGAGATGAATTCCTCTCCTTTGCAGAGTGTAACTCCACTAATGGGAACTGGATTATCTGATAAATTAGGTTTTACACTAAGAGAGGCCAACAAGTATCCATATATTTTCCTAAACTGAGTTCTTACACACTATATATAAGAACTTTTTGTATCAAAGCAAGCCCTAACTTTGCCATCACCATCTCTGAGTTCACTGCATGATATTCACTTTAAAGATTTCCACATATTCCAGATTCTTTTTAGCAGAAATCTCTAATAACGTGTTAAATTCTTCCTAACATCTAAAAAACCTCTGTTAAAATTGTAGCATTAAAACTTTCTTAAAAAGAATACCATCAGTATGAAACTTTCGCAGACTTTAGCTGGGAAAAAAACCCATAAAATTATTAAAATTAAAATCTTTTTGGGGCGCCTGGGTGGCGCAGTCGGTTAAGCGTCCGACTTCAGCCAGGTCATGATCTCGCAGTCCGTGAGTTCGAGCCCCGCGTCAGGCTCTGGGCTGATGGCTCGGAGCCTGGAGCCTGTTTCCGATTCTGTGTCTCCCTCTCTCTCTGCCCCTCCCCCATTCATGCTCTGTCTCTCTCTGTCCCAAAAATAAATAAACGTTGAAAAAAAAAATTAAAAAAAAAAAAAAAAAATTAAAATCTTTTTCCATTTAGCCAACCCAGCATCAACAAGTAACATGATGATGTATGTGATGGTGCTACCCCATCTTTCCCACAATCTTCCCACTACTGCCTCTGGAAAGAAAAGGAGCAGTAATCAGACTTCACCAAGGAAAGTTTCTCCAGTGTAGTACAGCCTATCCTTGAACAACACAGAGGTGAGGGGCACCAACTCCTGGCACAATCAAAACTCTGCATGTTAACTTTTGACTCCCCAAAAACTTAAACTAAGAGCCTGCCGCTGACTGGAAACCTTATAATGAACGCATATTATAGATGTTACTTGGATAATATAGCGTATTCTTACAATAAACTAACAGGGGCGCCTGGGTGGCCCAGTCAGTTAAGCGTCTGATTTTTTTTTTTTTAATAT